ATTATTCATGTTAGTTTATACCCTTCTTCCTAAGGTGACTTGCAAACACATGATGTATACAAAACTGCAACATTAATAATAGGAGGTAGATGATGAGGGCTTGAAGTGGAGCCAATGGTAGACCAGGTGTTCTTCAAAACCTGCTAGGTTTTACTTTTTTCACTTTTTATACTGGTTTACAAGGTCTGGAGTACAGCCCTTCTGTTGCAAGTAGAATACAAACTTTATCTGTGAATAGTCTTCACCTAGAGTGGGACTCTCTTTTTTAGAACTTAAAGGACCAAAAAAAGACCTATGACCAAGAGAAGGCCACTCCACAGGAAGGATCAAGACTATTCCCAGATTATTGTTTCTAGCCTGTTCCAACAATAGGGCTCAGGTTTCTCACCTCCCTGCGAAAGAAGAGACTTTTGGAGGCACACCTGTGTTTGAGTTCTGGTTCCTTATGAACTGAATGGTTTTGGAAAGCTATTCTTAGTTCTTAGTTATCTGCTCTAAGAAAACATCAAAGACTGGGTGGCTTAAACAGACATTTTTCACTGTTCCGGAGGCTGGGAACTCCAAGATCAAGGTGTTGGTGTATCTTATGTCTGGTTATGGCCCTCTTCCTGGTTTGCAGATAGCATTTTTTTTAGTGTATCTTCACATGGCAGAGAAAGGCTCTAGTCTTCCACTTCTCATAACAATGCTAATCCCATCGTGAAGGCTCTACCATCAAGACCTCATCTAAACCTAATTACCTCCAAAAGATATCACCTCCTAATAGCACCCCACTGGGGGGTTAGTTATTTTGGGGAAACACAAACATGCATTCCACGACATCTGCTTAACCTCTCTGAATCTAGTTTTCTTCTCTGTAAAATGGAGATAGTAATACCTCACTCATATCTTATAGTCTCTTCATCTTTTTCCTGAGCCCTGTGGCTAAGCCTGGGTAGAAAGTTGCTTAGACAGCCAGAACAGTGGGCAGTATTTATATGCTCATTGTGTCAGTGTACCAGAAAGCAGATGACACCCTCAAAAGTGACCTAGAGCCAGTAGTAAGAGTTGTTATTGCCCCTAGGCCCAAAAGGCAAAGGAGAAGACGACGTCAGTGGAAACTGAGTCATGTGGCATTGGCCGCATTGAGGTGTAGTGACTTTTGGCTAAGGAACACATTTGGCCTAGAGGTCTTGAAAGGAGGAGTCAAGGGAATAAATACTCTGACCTCAATCCCTCTTCCCATCTCCTGCTGCAAATCCCCACTGGCCAAACCCAACAGAACCCAGAGGCCATGGGAATTCTGTTGATGTAGTCCATACAGCTTTCTTGGGCAGCAAAGTAGGGTGAAGGAAGCAGAGATCTGGAGGGGCAAGTAGAAGACACCTGGCACACTTGTAATGATATAAACACTGATTAATGACAACCAAAAATTACAAAAATATAGGGAGGCTATGAGGCAGAAGTAGAGGGAATACAGTGTAAGACAGTTGTATCTCAACGACAGCAGGAAGTCAATAACGTCTAAAGTTGAGAGCTCCAAAAATAGCAGTATATATGTACTATTTAGAAAATACATAGATAAAACATAAGACAAAAGCAACAGCTAAATGAGTAAACTCTAAGGAAGAAGAGACATTATAAACCTTGCAATATTATGATTTAAAAAATGATTTATTTAATGGAACACATTAATTTTAAGAAAGTTGCTAGAAGGATATACAGAAAAAAAAACTAATAGTGGTTACATCGGTAGAGCTGGAATAAGAGAAGTGAAAGAACATTAACTTTTAGCTTCTTGCATTGTTTTACTATGAACATCTGCTATTTTTATATGGTTTTTACACCTTAAACTAATCAACTGAATTTAGCTACTAAAGGGAATTTATCTTATCTCTCAGGTGGGTTGGGCAGAAAAGTCCAAACCTTTGAAGTTCAGGTGAATCAATGACTTGACCAGACACACAGCTGAAGAAACTTGGTTAGGACCCAGGACTTCAAAGGGAACCCAAAGGCGGAAGTCCCTTCTAACATCTCCTTGCTTCAGAGAGAATAAAAAAATATGCTATAAAGATATGGCTCATCATCTCTGAACATTTAAAAGTCCCTAAAGTGAATCAGTCCGGGGATAAAAGACCATGTAGAGGCCAACACTAGCAAAAAAGTGCTCAAACATGTCACTGTTATTGAAAACCATGAAGTTTTGGAGTGTCTTGTTATGCTACAATAAATAACTGATATAATCTGCTCTTTAAAGAAAGAAAATATTGTTGTCTCAGGATTTCCAGATGCCATCACACACTATTACAATTCTGTTTTCTAGTGTGGTGAAAAATGTCCCTTTTAAAAAATATTTAGACTTAAAAAAAGAACCATGAGCTAAACTGAATATTTAATATATTTTATAGGAATAGAAGGGATGCAACAAGGATTAGAATTTTATAATTTTATAATATACATTAGACATTTAGTTAAAGGTGTTCCTTTTTTCAAAGGAATTTCCCCTACTTGCCTGGCTTTGCTTGCTGTCTTCCTCAGATCAATAAAGTTATTACTACACTGCAGATAAGCTGCTCCACTGTGTTGGGCAGTGATTATAACTTTGTTTCAAGTCATTATCATCTCCAAAAACTCCCTTTCATTTCACTGCACATCTCACTGCACTGTTTCACAGTAAAAATGTACTCTGCTCAAATTCGAAGACCCTGAACAAAAGCCTGAGGCCCAAGGATGTTTAGGTAAAGATTTAGTAACAATGTCTACTGGCACAAACCTTATACTCATTTATATTATTAAAACTACAATAATAGAAATGAAAGCTATTTTAATGAAAAAGGAACTCAAGAATGAGATCATTAAATATAACTAAATACATTTTAAATATAAATACCATGTATTTCCTGATTAGTATCAGGTAAATAGCTAAACTATCTGTCCCAGATTCTGGTCTAAGAGAAAAAGGTCAGAGACAATTACAAAAAAGGTGCTTCAGATTATCAGGTCCATTTTGAAAACAATGAGGTCCTCTGAGACAATCACTTTAGTCTTTCTTTTTATCAGAGATTTCTGTTGGTCCTTTTGTTGGTAATCCATTTATGTCTGCACCCTAAAATGAAAAACCATTTTAGACATTACAACAAAAAGACACTCATTATAAGAGACATTCTCCTTAAAAACAGACTACAAACTTCAGAATGAAAAAACTCTGCTTCTACAAATGTGCAGTATGGCTTAGTGCAGTTGAACACAATCAAAGCTGAACATAATAAGCACCAATGATAAAGACAACAGGTAGTCTAAATATTCATTTTTAAAAATAACCTAATTTTGTTCAGAAAAAGCCTCTATGATCCTTCTGATTAAATCTCCCACCAAAGTTATCAATCAGTGACAATTTAATATCATCTCTTCTCATCCATTAGCTATTTGCTATTACTCTTACCAGACAGGAAATACTGGTTATTATCTTGGCCACAAGGCAAGGAGCAAATACTTAATCAAAGAACTTTTTAGTTTAAAACCTTAGTTTAGAACTTTTTAGTTTAAAACCTTAGTTTAAACCAAATAGTAATTACTTAAAAAAAAAAAAAAAAACCAAACCCCCTATTTTAAAAAAGGAAGAAATTAAGACACATTAATGAAAAAACTTCTGGTTCTAAGAACTTGCTTATGCAAAAGCCACTTCCCTCACCCCCTTAGTCAAGGCATTTTAATGTTCTTACCTGATAGCCTACTTTGCCTTTGCTTTTATCATTGGATTCTTGTACAGCTTTTCTAGGCCACATACGACTAATGAAGGGGGAAATCAGAGGGTATATGTATGGCTCAAGGAACTTTTTGTAGACCCAGAGCAGAATTGGAATGACGATACAAGGAATGCACACCATTGTCCCAGACTTGAGCTCCTGAACTGTTGATATATGTGAAGAAAAAACAAATTAGTTCATCACAGATTAATGACTGAAGGAATTTACCTAGATTAAGATATTTGAAAGGATTATTTCTACATTGAAGGAACCACTTAGGTGATACTATTAGCTAAAAGTCTACTAAAAATGCTATCTACAAGGTAAAAGGGTGGTTGGCATGAAAACAACAGTGAGGTTCCTGCCTACAAACCTCTCCAATCACTGCCCCCAATCATAAATTTGATGATAAAGGAAAGACACCAACATTTGCTGGGTGCTAGGCAGTTAAACACTTGGCATATACAGTTGGTCCTCCGTCTCCCTAGGTTTTGCATCTATGGAGTCTACCAACACCAAATCAAAAATATTTTGGGGAAAAAAAAAATCCCAGAAAGTTCCAAAACACAAAATTTGAATTTGCCATGCACTGAGCACTTCGCTGAATTCACGCAAATGAAGTTATGTGTAGGAATACTGTAGCCTACATCTAAGTACCACACCATTTTATATAAAGGACCCGAGCATCTGGAGACTTTCGTACGGGAGTGTGTGGTAGTGAGGTGTCCTGTAACCAACCCCTGAGGATACTGAGGGACAACCGTTTAGCTCACTTACTCCTCAACCCAGTGAGGGTGGGTACTCTTGCTATCTCAAGTAGGCATCAACATTAAGAAACTTGGTAATTATGACTTATATTCCAGTTAGTTTGAGTCTAAGGGCCTAATCATCTTTAGGGACTGACAATATTTATTAGCCAAACCTACGATGCTAAGGACAAATCTTGTAGTATGGAATTCCCTAAGATATCACTTTGGAAGATCTCTAGGCTGCAAACTGGCTGGCCTTTCCTAGGAAACAATTCTCCCTTGATACAGTTGCCTTTTCTTTTTAAAGGCAATTAAAGTGTACCGAGTAATAAAACGTTTTATTTAGTATTATTATTGTTAAAAGTAAATCATTTATTTCCCAAAGTTAACACTTCTAATTTCCTTGATGATTAGCAATCACCATGCAATTTCTCAAGATCAGCAATTTTTTGAAAAAGAACCAATACTACTCCACAACATACTATCAAACCAAAGACTTCTTAAATTTACAAGAATTTTTTAATCCTTTAGAGTAGGACTTAAATACTAAGAAGCTTTAGAACAGTGCATAAGGCTATTAATTCAGGATGTTAAAATTTCTTTTCAAAATATTGTAAAATGGGTACTATTTACTGGCAAATGAATCAACATCATGACTTAAAATTATCACAATATAAAGGAACAATAGTATAGACAATTGAATCTTAATATGGCTTTGAAATGAACTACAAGAGCTATAAACAAATAAAAATCTAAAAGTACATCAATGAACAACCAGCTCCTTTACAAAGAATTCATAACTAAATTCTTTTTTAAAAGCCCCCCTAGTCACATTAAAATAACAATTTACGAATTTACCAAAATATTTCATTTCGAAATTTTGAAGAACATACCTGCTGTGTTATTATTATAACAACAAAAATCCAAAAGTTGTGACCTGTCCAAAGTTCACACAGTAGTACTTAGTAACTAGAGCTGGCTAAGACCAGAATTGCCAGATCTGGTTTCCTAGCTCGACAATCCTGTCTTTCCCATTCAAAAAACACAATGATCTTGTTAATCCTCTCCTACCAAACCTTCAAAACCAACTAAACCTTTCAAAACAAATAAATGCCCATGCTCTGAGCACTAGGCTAGGTTGATGACTGGCAATCTCTCCATCATAGATTTTTACCTACTTGTACTTGATGTTTTAAGTAGGTTCGTACGCATCGTTTTAAACAAACTCTCAAGAACATTACCAATCACTTTTGTCATAATTATGGCTTTAATAAAACTTTTTAGCTCTCTCTAGAATGAAACTACAGTATTTTATCTACTCCTTAATCTTCATTATGCTTCTTCAGTGAGTTATTTTACTTCATACTTGTGGCAACTGTGGCTTAGAAAGGTCCAGATGGTGGCAATGATACATTGCTAAAATTATTTTCCTCTCTCCAAGCTAATTCTCAAATATTACAACAAAGCGAGCAAAATGGATTAAAACTGTTGCAGAGGAATTTTCTTTTATTCGACTTAGTCCAATAGAAGAAAAGGTTGAGCCTGTATTAGAAATCCGGCAGGTGGGGGCGGGGGAGGGAAATGCCACCTCCCTTTAATATCCCAGTTTTGCACATTTCACTGGAGCCAAGAGACAGCGGGACAGGTTGAATCGCAGACGAATGAAAAGACAGGAGAGAATAAGGGCGAATGGTGAAAACAAGGACGAAGAAACCGACAAATTCAGGCTAAAAATGAGAATAAACAGATACACAGGAAGAGGCGTAACGGAGGCAGGAGGATGGGTGGACGCAGACAGGAGAGACGAAGGGCAAGGGAAGAAAGGAGGCAGGGCGCACGTTGGAGGTCCAAGTGGGGTATACTGTGAGAGCGCAGGAGGGCCGCGAGGGGCCCAGAGCAGCAGAGACGCTACGGGGCTGGGCTGGGCCAGCGCGACCCGGCCGGAACCTGTGGAGCAGCCCGACAGCGCCGAGACCACAGCCCATGCCCGACCCGAACCCCACGCCGAAAGTCCGAACCGACTCGACCCTACTCACCCGAGACCACCAAGCCCCAAAAGAAATGTCCGCACTTCCGGAGGGAGGGATGCGCCCCAGCCGAGCCAATGGACACCGCAGAAGGGGCCGACAAAGACGTGCCTGCGTCAGCCTGACGTCGCACAAGCGGGACGTAACGGTGACGCCGGGGCGGATACTGGGCGCGGCCTCGAAAACTTCAAGGCGGCTGGAGACGCGGAAACGCTGGGCTTTCCTGTCCCGCAAAACTCAAATATTGACCTAGGGAAGAATTACGCGCGTTCCGGTGGTTCATCCCAATAGGGAAAGTTATTCCACTCGCACGAAAGAGCGAGGCCATTTTCGAATGCAGCTGTGCGTAAGCCATTCACTCTCCTACTTAAAAGGGTCTTAAATTCAAGGGCGGGGTAAATTGTCTACTTTAAGGTTTGACCGGAACCCCTACACACTGCCAGTGGGGCTGTAAATGGCATAATCACTTTAGAAATGTCTGGCAGTTACCAGGATTATCCAGCAATTCCATTCTTGGCAAATACCCAAGAAATGAGAACGTGTCCACGCGAAAACATACACAAAGGTTCACGGACGCACTATTTGCATTAGCTTTTTAAAAGTGCCCCAAACGTCCAACTGATTAAATAGTATATTCAAATTACTCATTAACAAAGTAGATACACGCTATATAATGAACCCTGAAAACACTAACTCAAAGACAATGGGCCACTAATTGTTATTTCATTCTGAAATTTCCAGAATAAGCCTATCTATATACAGTAATAGGTTAAGAGGTTGGGTCCCTAGGGCAAGACAAGAGTGACAGCTGACCACTGCCATTGTTCTTTGGGATAAGGGAAATATTCTAAAATTGTGGTGACTGATGCATAACTGAATATACTAAAAGCCACTGAATTGTGGCGAATTGCACTGTATGTATGTTAAATCTTAATAAAGTAGCTGGAAAGTTTCAGAATTTCCCTATGTTCTAACTCCATAATAGGCTAAAAAAACGAAGACATTCAAAATTACAAGTTTACAAACCAAAATTAATGACACAAGGCAAGCAGAATGTTTCTATTTCTAATCAGAAGAAAACACGTTTGATCCATCTTGCACGGAGACCTGAAGTATATTTACTAATAAAGACAATCGACATTCTGCTTTTACTTTTACTAGCATTTATTTGATGCTAAATTTACTCCCGGGCCATAAGTTTTTGTTTCTTCAGTTTCTTCTGGGATATCTGGGGGGAAAAAAAAATAAAAGTATTAAGTTTCCTGAAGAAACCCAAACTACATCTTCAAGGAATAAGGTAGTTCAATATAAGAATCAGAAACTTCAACATAAAAGTATAGTCCTTTGACACTGAGATGTGGTATGGAGGGAGGGACATTTGGGAGGAAATTAAGAGGAAGCAGGGGAAGAGAGTTTAAGATGAAACCTGGAGGCAGGCAGACAAGCTGGTAAGAATTAAGTGGCAGCAAGGACTGAGGATATTTAAGTGACAATATCAACATAAGTGAAATCCATCAGGTGTGAAGGGAGACTAGAATTACTCTCAGCTTCCTGGCTTCAAGAACTGAATGCGAACATGAGTATATATATAGCTAACACTGCGCAGGAAGGTTAAGAGTAAATCGTAAGAGTTCTCATAGAGAACTTTTTCTTTTTAAAAAAACTATGAGAACCTATTGTAATCATACCACAACATATGTGAATTAAACCATCATGCTGTTCACCTTAAACTTAGTGATGTATTGACGATTACATCTTAATAAAGAAAAAAATGAATATGATCATTTACTGAAAATAGGCTTATTAGATTTGAGGGGGCGTTTTTGGACACACTGCATGTGAAAGTGGTTATAGATATCTAGGTGGGGCCATCATAGAAAATCAAAGTTCTGATGTACAAAGTTACTATTCATTATTAGTCAGGAAACAAATGAGACCCATGAAAGCCAGAATATGAGATTGCTGGTTGCTCAGAATAGTTTCCTTTCACGGTTGTTCCAAAGGTGTCCTAAGTTAGTCATCACGGCAACCACAAATCTTATACCGATGAAACCGGGCAAAGACTAAGTAATCTACCTTTTTCTTCTGTGCAACCTCTTCTTCTGGTTTAGGAACAATCTGTTCTTTTTCAGTAAGGATCATCTCAATGTGGCAAGGAGAGCTCATGTAGGGGTTAATCCGCCCATGAGCTCTGTAAGTTCTGCGCCGCATCTTGGGAGCTTTGTTCACCTGGATATGCTCAATGACCAGAGAATCTACATCTAAACCCTGGGAAGAAGGGAGGGTAACATTATCAGGTAACATCTTTATTTTAACACCATTACTAGAAAATTAAGTCCCTGCCTTAATAAAATCATTTGTGGAAAATAATCCTTAAGAATAGCATTTGTTGAAGCAGTTGTTTTCACCTTTATTCTAAATGTCCTTTCTTAAATATAAATAATTACCAAAACTCGGTGCTAAGTGCACATTAAAGGTCATTACGAGGAGTGAAGTTCCAGAATCTAGTAGTGTCAATATTTACTGACAATAAATGACAATAAAACAAAATTTGTCGGCATGACTTCGCAGCAAGAAGGGTCATAGATCTACATTAATTTTAGTTTTGGGCAAGCTTTCCAAATGTGAAAGGGCAATGGATAATGCCCCAAACATATATACCTGTGTTTTGTTGACTACATCAACAATTTAACTTCTAAGTGAAATTTATCATGTAAGCAACAAACTACATTAACCCTTACAAGGGCAATCATTTGGGTAACTATACTTTGCAATAGTTTTATTGTTTGTATAAATTTGGACAACAGCAACATTAATTGAACTATCCAAGATGTAGATATAAAAAGATGTTCATGCTTTGGGTACCTTAAGTTCAGCATTACTCTCTGCATTTTTAAGCATGTGCAGCAAGAATTCAGCACTCTTTTTAGGCCATCGACCCTGTGTCCAGCCCCACTGTTTGGCCTGAAAGAAAACAAAGAGAAGCTATTAGTCATTTTCCCTGATTTAAATCAAATGTTATAATCAAGATGAATTTATTTTACTCAACATCGAGGTTGCTCAGAACATCATTTTTTTCATGGTTAATCCAAAGGTGTCCTAAGATTGTCATCACAGCAACCAGAAACATCTTAGCCAATTTTAGCCCATCCACTTTCCTTTACAATTTTTTTCAAATAGCAACTATTAATTCTCACCTGGGCACACCTACCAACTCCACCATTGTAACGACGGAATGGTACACATTGCTTCTGTAAAGTGACATCCTTCAGATACTTGGTGGCTTTTCGAATATGCATACCCTTGATGGCCTGGGCAGTTTCACGAGTATTCTAAGTATAAATAATATAAACTGGGAGTTAACTATGTTAAAGGGTCACAATTTTTAAAAGCGAACATTAAATTCTCAAAATGTCAATATCTATATCAACAGCTAAAACCTTTCCATTCTTTGGAGATGAGGTAATATAGTGAGAAAAAAAAATCTGTGATTAAGAGCCAGGGAAGTTTGGTTTGAAAATAGAAAAAATTCTAAACCTATTCATTCACTGTAATGTTTTAATTCCATCACCTTATAACTACAATTACCTGTCCTACAGCTTGATCTGTACACTAGGTTCTCTAGTTCTTTAGTAGTTTTTTATCCAATTCCACATATCCTAAATCAAAACACTCATTTTATACTGATTAATATCTAGAAGGTGGCTGGTCAGAATTAATTTTCACAGTAACTCCAAAAGTGTCCTATGAAACACATCAATGTAGCTACCTTTAAAATGATTTTAAAAAAAAAAACGAATATGCAAAATGACTCTAAAAGCGTAACTACAATTCACATACCTTAAAGTGAACACGAAGATTTGAACCTCTTGATTTGCATGCTAAAAAATAGAGGACGTGTTGGTTAATTTTGAGTTATCTTATTTTTCTCCTATGCCCAAAGAATACGTATCTCTTGTTCACTTACATTTAGTGGGGTTTTCTGGGTCAAGTGAATAGCGAACCATTTTCGGAGGTCACCTGGAAAGGGGCAGGCATTCTGTCAATACATACTTACAGTTAACTTATACGGTCTAAGTCTGTATTAATTGCTATCAACAGCTGCTCAGACAGTAGTTGTTTTCATGATTGATCCAAAGGTGTCCTAAGAAATGCCATCATCGCAGCTCTTCTTTTCCCCATCCACTGCTTTCTCTTTGCATCTACCAGCGACTACAGCAGTGCAGACACCAGAGTGGTGCCACAAATCACATCAGCTTTTTGGAAGCCATGAGCCTGTTTTAATGCAACTCTGAATCCTTCAGGCGTAAAATGACATGACCCACTTTTTCTGTCTATAGAAACCCCTTTACTCACACAACTTCACACACTTTAGGGCTTTAACCAACGTTAAACGCTAGCAAGTTTGAAACATTCATCTTCAATGAATAATGCCTCGACCCAACGTTACTCCCCCAAAACTTTCCTTGAGGCCACAAACGCATCGCGTGTTCGGCCACCACTCACCACTGGACCTCTAGAGTAGCAGGGGACACTGACCACTGGCTGCCTCTTACCCTGAAGCCCCCATTCCCGCTCATCGCGCCCCTCTTCGGGCGGCAAAGGCCGCAAGGCCCCAGGGCGCCAAATCGGGTGCTCCTAACGTCCCCTTGCATAGGACACTGCCTTCAGCGAGAAATCAGTAACGGCAAGAATTCTCCTCCCGAAGACCCTGAGATCGGTGCCCCCGAGACCAGGATGGCGACGATAACCAGAGGATTCCACACTCGAAGAGAGACACC